TATCCCAGATTGAATTTTCCACTAGCAGAAGGGGAGGAGTAAATTTCTATCAGTTCCCCTTTTCTTGGTATAGATCGCAGATTTGTCCCTAATCCCATTTCAGAGGGTCCACTACCCCCTGGGGGCAGCATTTGAGAGAGATGTACCGACTGCGGGGGGGGGGGGGAGGCAGGAAAACTGTGTTCCACTAGCAGAAGTGTCTTGCATGAGTGGAAAACTTAGTCTGGCTCCAACCCCATGTCTAGTCTGCAATTCAATAGATTCTAGTTTACTGCTATCATGTTGCCTCTAAACGTTAATTTAAAAAAGGCTTGCAGTTGCCTAGAAATGAATGCAGCTGGTATTGCTTAGAATACCAATCAAAGGGTAAACTATAATTGCTTTAATTTGCCAAATGAGTTTCACATATGCAAGCATAATATATTGCTAACCATGGGTGGACTCCGTCTCATGTTCACTGTATTGTTACTACTTATTATTGCATTTTGAGTATCACATTTCCCCCCATCCTGGAGCTCAAGGAGGATTATATAGGGTCCTCAGGAGTTCTCCCATCCAGACACCATTCCAAACCAGCCACAACAATGTCGCTGCATCATGTGCCCTTCCAACTAGACTCTTAACCACAGTCAGCAATGTGAAGGAACCCCATCTCTACAAAGAGCTCAAGACCATAGCCTCTGACCACAAATTCTGAGCCTCTTGCATAGGAGAACTATGTGCTTGTTCAAGATTTCTTCTATAGTATTTTCCAGCCAACTCTGTAGCAGCATCACACTGGAATACCCAGTCCCAAATATTGGTACTGGCCAGCCCATGAGGACACCCAAGTTACCGCCAGATAAGGAGGAGCAGTGGAGAATATTGCTGTTGCAAGCTACCCAGGTAGCATCTTTCTGCATCATTGCAAGACATGTCCTGAAAAGTAGACTAGTAGTATGATTCCTTTGCTTTCTCTAGAATCTAAGCATGATAACATATGCACATGCCCTGATTCAAGGCATGCCAAGTTCTGACCGCATTAGAGCCACTGGAGTGTCTCAGGGCAAGACTAAAATTCTCCTTAGAAAGAGATTTGGGATGGAATCCAGTTTTTTGACCGGGTGATCTTCCAGCCCTGAACTTCTGCACTCTGTGTGATCAATTGTAATGGCTTTTGGCCATAAACAGTAAATGCTACCTCATCACTTCTCTTGTGGGGCTCAGAGTGGGAAGAGCCCTATGATACCAAATGATACATGCTACAAAAAAGAGAATCTTGATGTGATTGTGGGGGTTCACTGATATGCATATTTGCTCCTGTGCATTGGTAAAACCCTACATGAAAAGAATCTCAACAGAACTATATGGACCATCACACTATGATTGCTCTTTATGGACCATCACACTATGATTGCTCTTTAGAGTTTTATTCACGTATCCATGCATACTGGCAATGCAGAAGAGACAAAAAAAACTGAACACATGAAGGGGGGGGGACTGTGGCAAGTGGCACGTACAAAATGTTCCGTACAAAATGTGTCAATTAAAAACAACAATCCATCATTGCTTTTTTTTTAAAAGGCTAAGCAGATCAGAACTGCAAAACACTGAGGAAATATTTGGGAACTACAAATTCAAAATCATCCCTAACCAATTCCTATGTAAAGATTTTGATGTCTGGTTTTTGACATCTTCATTTCTGGTACTAGCAAAGGCAAAACACAGACAGTGAGAACTTTCAAGAAACTTGATGGAACATTTCTTTCTGTATTTTGTCTTCATAATAACCTGAAAGCTTCAATTTTGACTGTTCTTCCATGATTTAGGTACTGAAACAGGAAATTTACATTCCTGAATGAGCACAGTAGGACTGAAATCAACTCAGACAAAAAAAAAAACACCCCAAAATGAAACAGAGAACATAAAGGGCCATATGGACACCCAGGTTTACATGACAATCAACAGAAGTGGTGCTTGTTTGCTCTTCTTGGCAGGGAAGCTATTGAAATTCCTGACAGAGTGGACATCTAAAATCACCGCCTGGGGAGCCTTCTTTTGGAAATCATTACTTCCACAGTTACTTCTACCGGCTTTCAAATTACCTAAGAAAATCAATAGGAAGCCTCTCAGAACTAGATGCTGCTTTACTCAAAGTAGATTTGGGGGGGGGGGTTATCTTGCCATGTATATTGAGTTCTATCCCTTTTTTCCCCCAAGGCAGAAATGGAAGATGTTATGTGTGATGTAAGTGATGTCACTTCTGGTGATACCATGACACTCCTGAAATTTGCTCTATGGCTTTTACCGCAGAGCTGTGTGAAATCCTAGAATGTCATGACATCATTTCCTGGTTTCTCTAATCTTTATTTTCTTAATATTTTTTCTCCTGCACAAGCCGTTGGTTCAAGAGCACGGTTAAGCAATATGGCAATTCCATATACTTTTTTTTTCAAATTGCGAAGGGTTGTAATACACAAATCTTATTTAGCAAATTTCTAAGAGTACAGAAAATTCCCTTGACTTCTGTCAAAGGCCTTCTTAGGTTTGTCAAGTCAGGGTTAGGATGTTCCTGGGGATTTGGCAGCAGAGCCTGGGGAGGGCGGGGTTTGGGGAATAGGGTTGTCACCTCTGGGTTGAGAAATACCTAGATATGTTGGGGGTGAAGTGGGTTTGCCATTCCCCTGATGGGGGTGGGGGTTTACCCACTTTCAGGGCCCACAATCCGCTGGCTGGTGGGGGGGGCGCCCCATCCCCAAAGAGTCACGCTCTTACCAACATGTTGCAGGGCATGTTGTTCAGGGGGAAATCTAGCTTTTGAGAAAAACCTCTATAGTTACCATAGAGTTTTTTCTCAAACAATAGAGCATCCCCCCACAACGTGCCCTCCACAATGCCATCACTTCTGTGTGATGTCATTGTGGTGTGTGTGTGCTTCACATGCATGCAGAAAACTCCAGAGCGTGGAGAGGGACACACACACACCCCGCCAGCAACCAGGTAAGACCTGGGAACCCTAGGGTGAAGCCTGGGGAAGGTGTGGTTTGGAAATGGGAGGAACCATTCCATAGAGTCCAATCTCCAAAGCAGCTATTTTCTCCAGGAGAACTGATCTTGGTCATCTGGAGATCAATTGCGATAGTGGGAGATCTCCAAGTACCACCGACAGGTGGCAACCCTAGGCCTTCTCCACAACCAGCAATAAGACAGAATGCAGGGAAGGTCCTTCTCTGTGCTACATACAAAGAACACTGACCTGGATGGCCCAGGCTTGCAAGATCTCAGAAGCCAAGCAGGGCTGGTCCTTGTTAGTATTTGGACAGAAGACCACTACCGAAAAAAATCTAGGAATGCTACACAGAGGCAGGCCACAACAGACACCCTGTGAGGAAGGTGGGGTTGAGAGACCACTGACCCAAGGTCACCCAGCCTGCTGCATGTGGAAGAGTGGGGGAATCAAACCCAGTTCTCCACATTAAAGTCCACCGCTCTTAACCTGTCTCTTAAACTAGCAAATCCATTTCACTGATGATGCGTGATAGCGCCTACTGCAGCCTCTCTTTAACAGCAAATGAATGCCATCTATATTCTCCTGTGCAGAGATATTTTTTTTCAAAGGGATGTTGTAATGCACAGGCCATTTAGCTGCCAGAAATGAGATTATCAACACCCAAGGACATTTTGAGCAGAAATGAAGCAGCTGTCAAGCAGAACACCACTACCCTGATTGTAAAACAATCTGAATGAGTCAGCTAAGCAGTGAGCTTTAATGTCATAGGCCTGCACGCTCTATTATGAGCATTACAATGGAGGGGGTAACGTCAAACACTGCTAAGAAGGCAGTTGCCAACACGATGGCTGATACAATGTAGAAAAGGTTGAGCATGTCCAAATGTGTAAATCCTTATTGCTCAAGAACTTGCATGCGCATTGATAGGGGTCCTGTGAGACCACAAAGTCCAAACGGCTACAAAACAGACGGTGCAACTGAACGGAGAATGGTTTCAAAGCAGCACGAACAACGGGGACATGAGATGCCTCCTTATCATAATAGCTTCGCACTCCCAGCAGTGCTCTTCAGTGTTTAGTCGGCAAGTGTGAATAAAACAAACTCTTGTGCTATACAATATGGGAAACAAGACCAAAAAAAAAAAGCGAAAACTGATGGTTCTGAAACAGGCAGCAATCCGTGGAATGAATAAACATAAAAACAGATGACAAAAAGCTACAGGGACTAATACAGGGTTGACAGGCACTGGCAATGGATGGGAGATGGAGGCTGGTGGGTGCTTAATAGGGTTGCCAGCCTCCAGGCAGTAGCTGGAGATCTGCTATTACAGCTAATCTCCTTGTGTGTGTTAAGTGCCACCAAGTCGCTTCCAACCTATGAACTGATGACCTCCAAAACATCCTATCACGGACAGCCTTGCTCCGGTCTTGCAAACGGCGGGCTGTAGCTTCCTGTATTGAGTCCATCCAACTCATGGTGGGTCTTCCTCTTTTCCTGCTATCTTCAATTTTGGGTCTTTGCCAGTGACTCTTGTCTTCTCATAACATGACCAAAGTATGATAGGCTGAGTTTGGTCATTTTAGCTTCTAGGGAGAGTTCAGGCTTGATTAGATCTAGAAGCCACTTATATGTCTCTTTGGCAGTCCACAGTATCCGCAAAAGTCTCCTTCAATACCATATTTCAAATGAAATCATATCATTTCTAATATGAGCACTCTGTTATTTATTAAACTATCTATATCTCACTTTTCTCCCCAATGGGAACCCAAAGTGGATTATGTTCTCCCTCTCCCCCCCAACAACAACCCTGTGAGGTAGGCTAGGTGGAGATAGTGACTGGCCCAAGGTTATCTGATGTGCTTCCATGTGGCAGAGTGGCAATAACCTGGGTCTCGCAGATCCTGGTCTGATACTCTGAGCACTGCGCTGGTTCTCCATATAGCCTATATTTTAATATTCTGTATGTAAAATCACACTGGCAAGGGCAAGTTTCTGTGATCAGGCATCTTACCTTTACCCACTGGACACCTGTTGCCAATTGAAGAAACATATTCTACCCAATGGAACAAGCTGGTGGTGCCAAGAGACGTTTCCCATTCAGTGCTGCCGCAAATCCAAGAGTCCAAACCTTGCTGCAAAAACAGGAATGAAAAGGGGGGGAAATGTAAAGAAGCTCAGATGTAATCCAAAGTGACAATATGTGTGCAATAAAGAAAAGCAAGCCTTTAAAGTTACCCCTGGACCCCAGGGAGACTGTGGAGGAGGAAGAATATCTATATGCCAAGATTAGAATTAACAAGCGACCAATACAGATGTATTATTGGAAAAAAATGTTCCCATAATTAAAGGGCTGGCGGCCATGTCAATATCCCACATGTTGTTCTTCAGGACAAGCAGACTCTCACGAAAGAAAAGGCACTCTGGGAACATTTCCATGCGCAAGAGAGACCACAAGCAAAAACAAAAATTTAAAATGAAATAAAAGCAAAGAATCTCATCTGTAGGAATTGACAGCCGATTAGCCGAAACTGCTGGCTCCAGAATTTTTTAAGCGCTGGAAGGCAAATTAGCATAACCAGGTTTGTTCTTTTGTCTGAAGTGGAGCTTTTACCTAAATGATCAAGAACCCAATACGGTACGGGGCTTTTATGTTTGTACCATGGAGATCTGGTTTCATATCTTTGCTTGCGGCAAAACAGCATGCTATGATGGAACGTGAGGCTGCTGGCAAAAAGGGCAGCCATGTGTTGTGTTTCCTCTCCTTCATATCCAGCACCCACATCCCCCATATCCCAATGGCACTATGCTATGCATTTCTGTGGCACCACCAAGCCAGTGGTGTGGTGTAGTATGTGGGGGCATGCACGGCAATATATAGGTTATGTTTCTAACTATGCAAGGGATAGAGGGCACCAGGCTTGTGTAATCAAGCTTTTTTTTAAGGAACACTACAACCCATCAATAAGAATCTCTCTCTCTCTCTCACACACACACACACACACACACACAAGGTTCACAATATATCAGCCTCTTGAGTCACATACTGGAGAAATCTGCTTACACAAGAACAAAAACATATATTAGGTAGTCAACATTAGAAATGTTGGCATCAAAAGTATCACACCCACTGGAGCATCCAATGAATAGTACCATTTTACAGATGAATCACTCTGAGGCCATGGGATTAGCCCCAAACGAGCCAATACATTCGGATGCAGTGCACAGCATTTCTCAAGACCCAAGTCTCCAGCAAGACATCAACTGGGATATGGTTTCAGCACCATGCTTCATGTACACAATTGCCACAATGGTGAACCTGTCAACAGGGCCTGAACTATCAACCCCTAAGTGATGACTGGGTGATGGATATGTTAATCAGCCCACCATGTGGGAGAAAGATCCTTCAAAGAAGCTGCCTCTGTAGGTACAGAGGAAATTTCACATGATATGTTATTGTGATTTATTAGGGAGCGGTACAAGGCAATGTGTATGTGTGGGTGAATCTGCATCATGGTCCAGTATGCCACAAGCATTACTTCAAGGATAAGGTTGTTGTTTTCTTACAAGAACTCTCCATTCTGTTTCTCTAGGTAAGACCATAGAAACTCCAGTGATTCCTAGAGAGGTATGAGATCACTTCCAGGTTTTTCTCAGAAGTGACGTAATGCCATCATACTAATAGCATTTTTTAAAATATATATATTTTTCTCCCACTGGCCAATAGAGCAGATGCAGGGTTGCTGGCAGGAGGTCTCCTGCCAAAGCAGGAGATCTGGAAGCCCTACCATAAGTGTATAGTGTAGATATACCCTGAGAGTGGATTAGGCATGGAGGCAACATTCTATTGAGGAGTTCAAGGAGTAACTAGTGCTTCCCTCACCCGACATTTCTTTCCGTTACTTTCAGTCAGCTAACTTCCTGTCAGAGTGTATTAATGTCCTATCAAATGGACAGAAGCTTTAGAATGGCAAGATTGTGGAGATACTGGGGGGGTGGATTTCGGGGAGGGATCTCAGCAGGGACATGAGGTCACAAAGTTCACCTTTTGAATGGAGTTTCCAGCCCTGTGCTGGCAAATGCCAGGATATTTGGGGGTGGTGCCTGGGGAGGGTAGAGTTCAGGGAAGATGTGATGTCACTTCCGAGAGATGCTCTAGGAATTTCCCCTGTCTTTATGGAGCGGCATGGAAGATGTGATTTCCCACAAGCGCTGCTCTGCGCTCACTCTTCTCTTTGGCCCGATGGTACGTGTCAATTTCACACAAGCTGCTGCGCGACCGCATTTTGCCCTGCAGCTTCGTGCGATTTTCCCCGCGTCTACTCAATCCTGTTTTTTGAGGATTGAGTAGACGCGGGGGAAATCGCACGAAGCTGCAGCAGCTTGTGTGAAATTGACACGTACCATCGGGGCAAAAGGGAGGAGTGAGCACGGAGCAGCGCTTGTGGGAAATCACCCTTAATGTCACTTCCAGGTAGAGGATAGCTGTACATGATGCTACTTCCAGATGTTGTCCTAGGAATCTCCCAAGAGATGATGGAACTTTCCTAAAGATCACCATTCCCCTCCCCAAATTTTCTCCCACTCCTCACATTATCAAGGGCAGGGGACTGTGATTAAGGGCCAGCGACTGTGCACTGCCACCAAGCAAACAATACACCTACTTCCAGAGGAACTGATCTCTGTAATCTGAAGACCAGTTGTAATTCTAAGAGAATTCTAGTCCCTGTTGAGGTTGGAACCTTACCTGCAGGTGATCAAACCTTTACTTTGGCCACATGTCAGAGAGTTGCCAGGTACCCCCTGGCAACTGATGTGTGGTATGTATGTGGGGGAGGGGCTTACCAGAAGCCACTATGTCAGCATTGCCAGCAATGTGACAATGTCATTTCCGGTGCACACTGGAAGTGATGTCATCACATCACCAGTAACATGGGGATGCGCTGGTATTTGGGCACAAACTCTATGGTAGAAGTCCATTTTTACCACCGTCCCTGTGCAGCTGGTTGGTGTTCTGCTCTGCTGCCCCTCTACTCCCTGAGTTTATTTACTTAGCATATTTTTATTCCACTCGTCTAAGGAGTTCAGGCTGGAAAACATGGGCTTTCTTTCTTCCCTTTCATCCTGTCTTGGATCTTTATTGCTAATACTGATATTTCCTTTTAATAAATCCCACCTAACCACTAGCATCTCCCCAGGGACAAGGGGAAATCCAATTATTTCTCATAGTCAATTGAACACTGCATTTTGGATCTTCTGTAGCTCCATTTTCTCCAGGGGGAAAATATGCTGATGTTATTTCTGCAACTATTATTTGTAGATGCCTATTACATCATCTCAAAAGATCATCTCCTAGTACTTAATACTGTGTTTTAATTCAACATCTTTGAACTCTCCACTCTCTTGTAAGAAAGGACCACTGGCATTTGTTGTTTTCAGGCAATGCTTTGAAGATTTATATTAGTCCTAGTTTTTCTTTTTTAATTGAACACTCCAGAGAATTTGGAATGCAGTGTTCAGAGCTCAAATACAACCCCCCCCCCGAAAATCATCAATAAATCACCAATAAACAACCCCTGCTCTCTTAATGGATTTGACATACTGCTACTCCCCCTCACAAGATTATCTATTTCTCTTGTAAAACATGCCAGGGTCTAAAGGAGTTGGCTTATACAAAGTGGCAACCATAGAGATACTGAAACTCTTGGCAAACTGGGATGCGGAAAAGGGTCAGAGAAGTCCCTTGTCCCCCATGGTAATTACTTCACAGCGCCTGATGTTAAAAGGACAGTCCCGGGTCCCAAGAACCATCTGAATCCTGCATTGTCTTTGCATGATAAAAAGATTAGAGTCTGAAAAGCAGAGGATCCCGAATCTCACAGCTTCGTAGACTGCACACTGAAAAGACCATTGTAACATCCTCATAAATCCTCAGCTCTCTGGGCTCTTGACAAGTGAGGCAATGGACAATGCAATTCTTGTCTTGAACAAAACACTCCTTGTCTGCCACAGGGCTTATCTGCTTAATTTACAAATGTCTTTCATTGTCCTCAAATAATTCCCTATTGGGGGGGGGGGAAACTATTATGAGGAGAACTAAATAAATATTCACAGCTTTGTGGTATGTTTGCTGGCATGAATGCACCACTAAGAAAAACAAGGAGCATGGAATCTACAAGATCTTTGCTTCTCTCTCCACCTCTATCTCGTTTTCCTCTACATCACTCTACATATGTGTTTATATCCTCTCTCTCTCTCTCTCTCTCTCTCTCTCTCTCTCTCTCTCTCTCTCTCTGAGTTTATTAGAGGGAAAGAATGAAAATCTTACAATTATCCCAAGAATGCCTGAGAAATATGTGCAAACCAGTAGATTCTGAATATAACAAAGAAATCAGTGGTGGAATGCTTCGAAGACCAATGTGCATGGGCACATAATGCAACATGCTTGCCCAACCACACTTTGAAGTCACACCTGCACCCTTAGAACTGATCTCACAGTTTAGATGGGCCTCAAGGACGATTGTGCAAGTCAAAATAATACCTTGCCTGGTCCTGCTGATTTGAGCCAAATCATGAGCTGGCTAAACATCTCACCCAGCTTTGCTACCTGAATTGTCCATAATCCCGCTCAATGCATTGGATCCAATCACTCAAACCCATGCAGTCCCCCCTTCTTTTCGACAGACACATTCCACATGATTTCTATTGATGTGGCTCCCAGGATCCCCAGAATAGCTTTTTGTGTTGGTCCCTCTCCTTCCTATTGTAGAAATACAATGGGGGGGGGGGAGGGACTTGGTTGGAATCAACACCAAATGTCCTGCTAAATTTATACATTCTATTGTCCAGGATGTGGCTTCATCGATTTCCATTTGGGAAGGAGCTGTGGCTCAGTGGAAGAGCCTCTGCTTTGGAACCGGAAAGTCCAAGGTTCAGTCCCCCGCATCTCCAGTTAAAACAACTGGGAAGAAAATGCTGTGAAAGATTTCTACCTGAGACTCTAAAGAGCTGCTGCCAGTCTGAGTAGACAATACTGACCTTGATAGATAATATGACTTAGTATAAGGTAGTTTCATG